TATCTTTTTGGGCTTCCCTCTTCTGTAAATTAATTTTTTATATCTTTAGGCCATTTTACTGTTGTAATTACTGTCTGTTATTGCTTTGCAGGAATTCTTTAAAGATTCCAGGAATGAATCCTCCGCTAGTTTCAAATACTGTCAGTATCTTTTACCATTCTGTAGTCTGTAAATTTGTCCACAGCATTCCTTATTGAGTAAGAATGCTCAAATTTTATGTCATCAAATTCATCAATTATTTGCCTATGGTCTGTGCTTTTGTTTAAAATGCCCCCCTACTCTTCCCCCAGGTCACATAGAAATTCTTCTTTAGTTTCTTCTTCTAACATGGTACTTTACCTTTCACATTTAGATTTCACATTTAGAGTCCACTTTAGCATGTAGTATTAGGAATCCAACTTTATTTTTCTCTGGTTTTCCATACTTTAAAGGTTTGGCTGCAATTGTGAATGGTAACTTACTTGTTCATTATCTCATTCTAGTCAGTTGTTGCTGATATTGAGAAACGTTTCTGATTTTTGCAGGCCAGGCTTGTATCACACAACCTTACTGAACTCTAGTATTGGTTCTCACATTTTCTCTGCTGATTCAGTTGGATTCTTCATGGAGATGATCACATTAATTGCAGATAATGACAGCTTGAACTCTTTCCTTCTAGTTATTGTACCTATTACTTCTTTTGCATGTGGCATTAGACAAGAGCGCCAGTCCTGTGATGGTAGGCTCCCTCATCATATTCTTGCTCTTGACAGGATACATTCAAAGCTTACCCATTAAGTATATTTGCTGTTTTTATTATATAACCTTTATCAGATTAAGGAAATGCCCTTCTATTCCTAATTTGCTAAGAGTATTTTTTAATGATAAATGTGTTTATCTTTATCAAGTATTTAATAGCATATCTTCAAAATTTTTGCAAATTCATAAATATGGCTCTCTTTAGATATCCATTTTGGCTAAATTACTTTTTGTGCTGTATGATAGATTTTTTCTCTTTTTTTTTCACACTTACTCATTCATTTAGCATTTATTTTTATAGGTCTGTGAGTCAGGCACCAGAAATATTAGGCACTGGGAAAACTGCCGTGAACAAAACAAAACCCCTGCCCTTTGAGAGCTTCTATACAGTAGAGGAAATTAACAATATGTATGCAATAAATAATATAATATGCCAGGTAGCCATAGCTGTCTGGAGAGAAATGAAGCAGGCTAAAGGGATGGAGTGCTGTTATTGTTAGGTGCCATAGACTGGCTCTGACTCCCAGCGATCCCATGTATAACAGAACAAAAGCGATCGGATAAAGGGTGCCATTTTAGGTAGAGTGGTGGGAAAGGCCCCTCTGAGTTGACAGTGGAGCACATTTGAGCCGTTTGTGCCTGGAGGATGAGCCTTCCCAGGAGAGGGAGCAGAAACTGCAAAGGCTGGAAAGAGGAGAATGCTTGTCTCGTTTGAGGAACAGCAGGAGGCTGAGAGGAAGGCAGCAGGGAGCCAGGTCACGTGGGGCCTCATTGGCTTGGTCAGGTCTTTGGGTTTTAGCCTAGGTATAAAGGAGCACCATCTGGGAAGTTGGGGCAAAGGGAATGACGTGACGTGACCTGCATTTTAAAAGGTGCGTGCAGGCTGCTGAGTGGAGAAGCCACAGTGGGGACCAGGGGAGATGCAGGGAGGCTAGTTGGGAGGCTGTTGAAGAAATCAGATGAGAGATGATTCAGCTAGCATGGTACTGTTGGAAAATGTGAGAAGCTGCAAATTTTAGGATTTGTTTTCAAAGTTGAGTTGGCAGGATTTGCTGATAGAGTCAATGTGTGGTGTAACAGAGAGAAAATTCTGGAACTCCAGGGTGTTGGCTGGGTAGGTCGCTGGGATGAATAAAAAAGTTGCTGAGATTAAAACCCTTCAGATTGGGAGTCAGTGGCTGGGGTAATAATGATGTCCAAGGTCAGTTCCCTGAGGTGTTTGAGCAGAAGTATGAGATACATGGAGGCCACGGGGAGTGGAGAGAGGCATGAGAAAACGACAGCCCCTCAAAGAACCAGGTCTGTGAAAGCTGGTGGGAGAAGGGGGAGCAGCTAGGACATGTGGGGTGTCAGAATGAGGCTAGTCAGCATGTCCCAGGAGCCTGCACCTCTGACCCCAACCGAGAAGAGCCTCCAGATATCGTAGCTGGCATGATCTGAGTAGACTTAACTCTGTAGCATTCAAATATATTTTAATTTACTGTAACCACCAAGACAATGCTTCAGATTTCAATAAAATAGTAGAAACATAAGCAGAACGTTAATTCATTTATCGTTTAATGATTCTTCTTCCTATGAGTTTTATATCCAGTTAGTGTTTAGCTCTGCTGTTGTTGTTGTTGTTATTAGGTGCCGTCACGTCAGACCCAACTCATAGTGACCCCTCCTTGGATTTCCGAGGCAGTATCACTATGGAAGTGGATTGCCCAACCTTCTGAGGAGTGGCTGGTGGGTTTGAACCACAAGCCTTCTGGTTAGCAGTCAAGTGCCTTAAGCACTATGCTACCAGAGCTCCTGTTTAGCTCTGCAAGATATGAAAATCATTTTCTAACAGTCAATGACACATTTATTCGAAGATAATCCCAGTGCTGGGGAAAAGACTAACATCTTTTCAGGCTATGTTCTCTTCAGTTGTATGGCACATAATGATATTCTGAGCACATTCTTTGACCGCCATTATACAGCAGAAACATGTAAATGAAGTCTGTAATCTGAAAGGAAGGAGGCCTGCTGGTACAGTGGTTAAACACTCAGCTGCAAACCTAAAGGTGGGTGGTCAAATCCACCAGCTGTTCCGTGAGAGAAAGATGTGGCAGTCTGCTGTTATAAAGGTTACAGCCTAGGAAGCGCCATGTGTCAGTTCTACCTCCTCCTGTAGGTTCACTATGAGTTGGAATCGACGAAACTGCAGTGGGCAATCTGAAAGGAGATTTTTTTATTTAAGGAATGCAGATTCTGTAAAGGGTCATAAGGAATCATTCAGGGTTTTTTTTTTTTTTTAATCCCCTAAATGGTGTTAGCCCTTTTATATAAGGAATGCTACTTTTGTACCAAACCTTAGGGGGGGAAAATAGTCACTCATTAAACAGTAAATGCTGAACTGAAACTCATTCTTGAGCTGAATGAGTGCAAATCTTGTGAACACAGCCTTTCTTATCCTACTTTGGGCAGACCTTGTAGATGGAGAGTCAGAGGGATGGATGAATGGACAGACGGAAAGGAAGAGAGAGAGAGAGAAAGGAAGAGAAAGAGAGGGAGAAAAGGAGGGAGAGAAGGATGAAGGGAGGGAAGAAGGAAAGAAGGGAAGGAATTTGGATTGAAAATCCTAGATGTTTCCTGTTTTCAATAAAATGGTGTTGAGAATTCCTTTGAGGAAATTCATCTTGGCATTTGTACATTCAGGGCGTTCAGGGGATGTTCATTGTTTAACTTAACAAGTGCCTTTTGTATGCCTGCTCTGGCCAGACTCTGCCCTAGCCCCTGAGGGTATAGCAGCAAAGGAGAGGATTCCAGCCCTGCTTGCATTCCTGCAGAGTTTGAAAGAAGACATCAGCCATTAATTACATAGTTATTTAATTGCTGCACTGCTCAGCTAGACAAGAAGACCTCAGTTAGGGGTCTTCTAACTAGACATTAAGCTCACTAGACATCATGGGCCATACTTGGCCTCAGGTTACTCAGAAGGGCCACACCAGGGCCCCTCTTCTGTGAAAGCAGTCCTCACAGCAGCTGACCCAGCAACCAGGGTCTCGCTTTCACCCCTAGCCCTGCGCATGACTGCTCAGGTGCCAGAAAGGGAAGTCCATATTGGTGGATCACAGGCTCCCCTTAGCAGAGTAGTCCTGTGCCCGGCAGGAGCTGATGTCCTCTGTAACAGCAGGATAGACACAGCTCCCAGGGTCCCCACAAGGACATGCCCAGGTACAGGAGCTAAGACAGGCAGGGAACCGAGCTTGCCAGGTCAAACAAGCCCCACTCAGTGCCCTTGAAACTTAAGCCTATGTGCAGACCACCACATAATTCTGGCTGCTAGCCTCAGAAAAATGATTAGTTGGCAAGCCAGGGGCTTGGGTGAGATAAAGAGGCCGCAAATTAAAGGCCCTCAGCTTGACTAGTTATAAAATGCTGATAACTGCCCCGCCCATTGTTTTTTCAAGTCTCTCATTAGGCGCCCACCAGGTGCAGAGCGTGTCCAGTAAAGGTCAACATGACCCACAAAGGGACCTTCCACCAGAGGCATGCAAGAACGGTATCTCGAACTGGGGCTCGAACTGGGGTTTAGAGACATCACGCATGAGTATCTTGAACCTCAGAACCCCATTCATTTCATCAGTAAAGATGATGCCTCTTTCCTGCCAAAGACCCTTTATAGACCTTAGGAATCCCTTTGTTCGAAGAGGCGGGGGGGGGGGGCGGCTAGCTAGGCAGAAGCCCCTCTCCATCTCTTCCTCATGAGCCCCTCCCTTCCTCTCTCTTTAATAAACTTTGGTTCGTTTGGACATTTTGCCTCTCCTGTTCAGTTCTTTGTCAGTAGAAGACAAGAACCCCTGCTCAGGGTCTTAGGCACCCCAGTAATAGAGCCACTGCTCCAAAAAATCTCAGAGCTATGGCAGACCCACTAGATATCTAAAGGTCACTCACACATGGAGTCACCATGGGTGAGAATCTGGTTAGGTTCTTTTGATTTCTAGTTCAATGCCAGCAAAGTTGCTGACATTTCACCCTTATCAAGTTTCCAGGGAACAGAGCTAGAAATTAACTTAAGGTCAAATCGGTACTCAGAGAAGGAGAGAGAGTTTTGTTAACCCTTTCCTTATATTTAGGTTGGTTTGTCGAAGTGCGGCTAAGCAGGTACAGAGTGTGTAGAGCACTTTGGACCGAGGAATCAACGCCATTGCTATTCTCTTTTTCATTCATTATGGAGCAAATGCTAAGTGGTTCCACCAGAGATCTAGAACACTGACATCCTCTTCATTTTTCAGACCAGTCGTCATGATGAAAAGCGGCTTGGGCTGCTGGATCCTGGTTCTCTTTGTGGCCACATGGAGTGACATGGGCCTCTGCAAGAAGCGACCAAAGCCTGGAGGAGGATGGAACACTGGAGGCAGCCGATATCCAGGGCAGGGGAGTCCTGGCGGCAACCGCTACCCACCCCAGGGTGGTGGTGGCTGGGGTCAGCCTCACGGTGGTGGCTGGGGACAGCCCCACGGTGGTGGTGGCTGGGGACAACCCCACGGTGGTGGTGGCTGGGGACAGCCCCATGGTGGGGGTGGCTGGGGTCAAGGTGGCTCCCACAGTCAGTGGAACAAGCCCAGTAAACCAAAAACCAACATGAAGCATGTGGCAGGGGCGGCCGCGGCTGGGGCGGTAGTGGGAGGCCTTGGTGGCTATATGCTGGGAAGCGCAATGAGCAGGCCTCTCATACATTTTGGTAACGACTACGAGGACCGTTACTATCGTGAAAACATGTACCGTTACCCCAACCAAGTGTACTACAGGCCCGTGAATGAGTACAGCAGCGAGAACAACTTTGTGCATGACTGCGTCAACATCACAGTCAAGCAGCACACCACCACCACCACCACCAAAGGAGAGAACTTCACCGAGACCGATATCAAGATAATGGAGCGTGTGGTCGAACAGATGTGCATGACCCAGTACCAGAAGGAATTCCAGGCTTACCAGAGAGGGTCGAGCGTGGTCCTCTTCTCCTCCCCTCCCGTGATCCTCCTCATCTCTTTCCTCATCTTCCTGATAGTGGGATGAGGAAGGCCTTCACATTGTCACCATCTCGCTAATCTTTTACCAGGTGGGGAGGGGTATCCAACTGCAGCCCTTTTAGTGGTGGTGTCTCATTCTTGCTTCTCGTTGTCACCCCTAAATTAATAAACTGGGCACTGGTGAGCAGTGGGAAACATGGAGTGGGCCCCGGATGTTATTTCTTCAAGCCCCCTCAGATTGAGTCCATTGTGGGCGGCTAATGCTGAGCTGATACGAGAATAACCACAGGTAATCATTTGTTAACCTGGGCTTATTTGTTTGTCTAGTGCACTAAGGTGAGGCTAGACCAAATCTCCGAACTGTATTGAAATGCCTCAGCCTAAATGTCTGCAGCTTTCCCTGCTAGAGCTCAGTACACAGATGCCCCATCTTAGCAGTGATTTCGTAGCAATTTGGAATGCATCTTAAGAAAACCTCAGTGCATTTCTCTGTTGAAGCAGCATTTCTGCCAAATCTGAAAGCAGGCCACATGATACTCATTCCAAAACAGAACTAGAAGTCCTTAGCTCTGGGCTGCAGGCTCTGCTGGCTGGAGAGCAAGTGCCCTGGGCCTGCAGAGACCTGTGACAGCACTTTTGCATCTTCCAGCATGCGCTGCACAGCCACCCTTGGCATCAAGAGTAAATATTCATGCAGCTCTGGCCAGATACATTTTCACAGGGAGTGAGCATACCTGTGACATATGTATGAAAGGCTTCTGGGACTAAAAAAAAGATAAGCATTTGGGAGTAGTACTCTGAGAGGCAATCTCTCTTTTTTTTTTTTTTTTTGGCAGCCCTTCTTTAGTAAAATAATAAAACTGTAGATAATTAAGGCAACAAAAATTATATTCTGGACACTGAAGGCAAGTCTTTGTTCATTTACCTGGAGACCTAAATAAGTTTAGTGTTGTTTGGGTAAAGCCACGAGGTTTTAACATCGAGAAAGCAGCAGCTGTAAAAGCATGAATATCATAGAGGATTATGTAATAAAATGGGCAGTGTGTAAAGGAAAGAAATGCTTGCATTTCTTTATTGTTTCCTGATAATTGTCAAAAATCAGAATTGGACCAAGTCCTTCGTTTCTGTAATTGGCTTTTGAATCAAAGAATAGGGAGACAAAAACCTTGGGTTGGAAATGACATAAGTATGATCCATTCAAAGTAGAAAAGGAATTTCTGTTAATGTTACTTAAGGCAAAATTATTCCCTGAATTGTTCGATATTGTCACCTAGCAGATATGTATTACTATTCTGCTGTGTATTGGCTTGCACTGTGTGGGTACTCTATGTTAAAAAAAAAAAAAAAAAACTGTAAATATATCTCTGAAGTATTTTCTGCTCAGATCACCTGTTTTCCAATTAGATGGTAATATATTCATAATGTGCATATAATAAACTTAGAAGCTTTGTTCAGAGTACTAGACATCTGAAGTATCTAATGTATTAACTTTTTGTAAGATACTAAATATGTGGGAGACCTTTTTGTGTGGTTCTTGGGCTTACAATGTGCACTCAATAGTTTTGTATAAGAATCCAAAATGGACACCGTTAACTGGTCTTTAAAATGTGCATGTACTTTATATTTTCTATATTTGTAACTTTGCATGTACTTGTTTTGATGTATAGAGAATTTATAAATGTTTAATATGACTAAAAATAAATGGGGGCTAAGATGAGTGCTTTCTGGGCTGTTAGCAGTGATTCTCACTAGTGCTTGTCTTGTATTGGGAGTTGATCCGAGCAAAGTGACCCTTTCAGTCACCTTGGATGGTTGCCAGTGTTTCATGTACCTGCTCCTGATCTAGCCCCCATCCTTACTTCCTGGTCGCATGCCAGTTTATCTCTGCTGCCTTTCCATTTTCCCACATGTATCTAAACCAAAAAAATAAATAAAACAAACTCACTGCCGTCAAGTCGGTACCAACTCATAGCAACCCCTCCTTGGGTTTCTGAGGCAGTATATCTGCAAGAGTAGATTGCCCAGTCTTCTTTCTGAGGAGTAGCTGGTGGGTTCAAACCACCAGCCTTCTGGTTAGCAGTCAAATGCCTTAGGCACTATGCCACTAGAGCTCCCCACATGTATCTAAGTGTACCTAAAAACCAGGAAAGAAATCCATTGCCGCTGAGTCAATTCCAACTCATGATGACCGCATGTGTTACAAGAGTAGAACTACTCTGTGAGGTTTTCTTGGCTGAATCTTTAAGTAAGGAGCTCACCAGACTGTCCTTCCACTGGCCCCACTCCAAAAACTCACTGCCATAGAATTGGTTCCTACTGAGTTGGAGCAACCCTCATTGGGTTTCCGAAGCTGTAAGTCTTTACAGAAGTAGATCGCCCCAACTTCCTTCCACAGTGCAGCTGATGGGTTTGAACTGCAGACCCTCTGGTTAGCAGCCAAATGCCTTACCCACTATGCCACTGGCCCCACTAGGTGGGTTCAGACCACCAACTTTTAGGTTAATGTCAGTTCTGATTCATAGTGAGCCTATGTACAAACAGTACAGTATGCTGCCTGATCCTGTGCTTGCCTCACCCTGGGACCTGGGGAAAATGACAAAGGTACTACTGCAGCAGGATGAACAAAATCCTTGTGTTCCAGAAGCTTCTTTTCTGTCCTGGATTTAGAAATACAGAATTTTCTAAATGAAACTTAAGTTCTAAGTGCCTCCTTTATGCTCCTCTATCTAACTCAGTCTATAAAATACTCCCAGGTCCTAGGAGCCTGCAGTGACAGTCTCTCAACTTTTTAGGTACAAAAGGCCATTTTCATTTGTCACTATCTTCCAACTCATTCTACACACATTTCCTGCCTTCTTAATGGGTGGTTTGATGCTCTGATGATACTCAGAAGTATTCTTCTGCAGTGTAATTCATTAAAGACAAGAAGTGACAATGATTAGAATCAATATTTGTTAATATCTTAGCAAATACCAATACCCTGCAGTGACCAGAGGATCATTTTATTACAAATGGAAAGATAGAAATCAACACCTTGAAATCCCATCATTCACAAAACTATAAAACAAATAATATACAAATTCTCAAAAATATCATTCATTTATAAATTGACCTCAATCAAAGTCTATTCTGAGCATAAATAGTTTTAGAACTATTTTCACTCTTGCAATTTTAATTACTTAAAAATAAACTCCATTATCTGTCAATCATAATTTCTCAAAAATAACCCACTGAGAAGACTTAAATTGTTCAAAGCTTGGAAATTTGGTGTGTTGGAGTTAATACTATCTATTTAATCTTTCCCAGGCTGCTATGTTTTTTTCCTGTTACTTCCAACTCTTCCAAGTTAGAGTTTTGCAAAAGGAACTAAGAAGCCAAGAAAACAGTAAAATCAGGTTTAGAAAATACACTTGACCAACATAAATGTAATTGGGTCTAACCCCAGAGAATGTTCTTCCAAAGAGCTGTCAGGCAATGCTTTGGTTTCCCCTCCCTGTCTCTGACGCTGAGCCCAATAAGGGTCTAATGGTACTTTTGGAGGGAAGTTGGATCTGTACTGCTTCCCACTCATGGGAGTTAATCCCAGCCAGAACCCGTGCTTCCTTGTCACCTTGCCACATTCATGCCCTCACCCTTCCAACCAACCTAGTCATTCTATGATTCATTACCACCTAAGAAAGGTTAGATCCTCTCTGGTTCTCAAAATTGCCACCCTGGGATTCAGCACAAAGTGAAGAGTTTCGTGACCAACAAAAATTGTTGAGACTGGGTCATACTTAAGAAATTTGTTGGATCATACCTCTATGAAGATGCAGAATTTTATACAAGATAATGTTTCTCTCACACTCAAATGCATTACAAACACACCTGGCTTAGAGTTGTGAGTACTATGAGTTAATTAACATGAAGGTGAGCATTGACTAATTTAGTGGGTGCTATAGGAAGCTGGTGAATTTCCTTCCCTCATGCTGTCAAATTCCTAACATTGGGTGTGCCTATCCCCTGTTACCGGTGATGGCCCACACATGGAATGTGTCCATTCAAGTTTCTTTATGGCCCAAGTTTACCTTCCCAAGATCCCAGCTCCAACATGGAAGGGGAACCTCATAGATAGGGCCTCTAAGATTCCAGCCCTCACTGCTTTCTGGAAGCTGGTTTTGCCAACTGCTCAGATTCAGAGACCAAAGAATCCAATGAGGAGTGAGGCTATCATTTTAACTAGCCAATGTCTTATCTTTCCCCTTTTCCCTGGATGTCTTCTTTTATTCTACCTTCTAAGGAAGCCTTTTCTCTCCAGTCTTGAGATCCCTTTCTCTACACTGCTTCCCATGAGGCAACTGACCAACGGTGGTTTTGTTATTGACATGGCATCATGTAGACAATGAGGCTACTATGTTGTGGACCAGAGTAGCCCAGAACAAAGGTTTCCCACTTCCACTTAAGCCATCAGGCAGGGCTAATGTTTCAGCCCACCACCTGTCTGTCAGTTTGTCCTACTGCTGTGAAATGCATGTTGCTATGATGTTGGAAGTTATGCCACTGATATTACAAATACCAGCAAGGTCACCCATGGTGGACAGGTTTCAGCAGAGCTTCCAGATTATGACAGACTAGGAAGATTGTCTGGTGATGTACTTCTGCAAAGTAGCCAATGTAAACCTTATGGATCACAACAGATTGTTTTCTGATATAGGCCTGGAAGATGAGCCTCCAGGTTGGAAGGCACTCAAAATGCACAGTGGTCACATTGGACTTGAGCATACCAGCAATCACGAAAATGGTATGGGACCAGGCAACATCTGTTCTGTTGTACTTAGGGTTGCAGTGAGTCAGAGCCAACTCTATGGCAACTAAGAACAACAATAATGTTCCTTCAAGAAATAGTTCTGGGCCTTTAATAAAAAGAAAAAGAAAGTAAAGAATGAATAATTACAAGATCATTCAAGCCCAGACTCCCCACCACATAAATTCTCTCAGATTATTCTTATATTCGGTAAGTTTAAGTTTTGTTTTTTGCCCCATTCAGGGAAGAGAGCCATTGCAGCT